TGCTGCATCTAACTTTAAAAAAATTTAAAATTCTTTTCTATGCTATGTCAGTTGTTTGGGTTGAGAAGAATTCATATCTGAAGAGTTATGTAGAAGACTTTTCTTGAACATTTAGTGCCTAAGGCGGAGGAAATATTAGTCTTTTGCTAATCATGGAGGTCAATACTTCTTTGACAATATTTTGTGCCTCAGCTCTGCATTGAACCCCCAATAGGTGTGGTGTTTCAGGCAAGCATACCGGACATATTAACTTTAACTGACGAGATCAACAAAACCAACACAGATTCTAAGTCAACAGACCTAGAACAGAGTGTAGAATTGAGTGACAATTTTTCCCCTAGGGAGTAACATGTACTTTCACTAGAAATAGGTAGGAAGAGGGCGATAAGAGTGTGTAATGGAGAGGGAAATGGTGAGGGATAAAGAGAGTGGGGGAGGGAGGTAGGGAGAGATAGAGAGACGGAATTGGAGAGAGTGATAAAGGGAGAGCATGAGAGAGATAAAGGGGGGTGGAAGAGCAAATGAGAAAAAATGAAATGGGAGAGACGTAGAGAGTGAGAGAGAGGGGGAGAGGGAGGGAGGGAGAGAGAGATTAAAGAAAGAGATGGAGAGGGAGACTAAGAGTGACTTTGTAGTAGAGAGAGGTATATAGAGAAAGTTATAGAATGAGAGAGAGACCATGAGGGAGGGAAGACAGAAGAGGGAGAGAAAGAGGGAGAGGAAGAGGGAGAGTAAGAGAGAGTGGGAGGTAAAGTGATAGAGAGCTTGGGGAAGTAGAAAGAGAGAGCCTTATCGGGTGTGATAAAGATCAAACCAATCCCTGCCTTGCCTGGTATAATTGTGCCTGATCCCTTGTCTTTCTTTGCTAGAGTGAGGGAGAAAAGCAATAGAGAAGGAAAAATAAATAGAGAAAGAAAGAGAGGGCAAGAAAGAGAATAGATAGAAAAGAGAGTACATGAGAGACAAGGAGAGAGAGGGAGGACATTAGTATCTGCTCGTCTAGTAACTCGTTGTTGAGAGAGGACATAGCTATGAACCTTTTTTTTAATGCTGCATCTAACTTTAAAAAAATTTAAAATTCTTTTCTATGCTATGTCAGTTGTTTGGGTTGAGAAGAATTCATATCTGAAGAGTTATGTAGAAGACTTTTCTTGAACATTTAGTGCCTAAGGCGGAGGAAATATTAGTGTCTTTTGCTAATCATGGAGGTCAATCTCCTCTTTTTTAAATTCTTTATATGCCAAATTCGAAAGCTGCACTTTCTTCCTTGATGATTTCTCGTAGTGCATCAATGATTCCCTTAATGTGAAAGCACTTTTCAAAACTGGAAATGTTCTCATCTAAATCGTCGTTGATATATGCAAGATATTACTTGGAGGTTTTCAAGTTGATCTTTGCTAGTTATCAAGAAGAAATTTGACTTCAATCAATAGCACTTAAGTTGCTTGGTTGCTTGGATATTTGGAAAAATCATATGATGTTGTATGGAATTGAGAAAGGTAGGGGTATTTGTATGGAATTGAGAGAGGTAGGGGTATTTGTTCGATTCGAAGGCCATGGGTCTTAGGCTGATTTCGGAGCCCAGTGGGTCCATACCACATAGTGAAATGTTGACTGTGAAAGCTCTAGAAAAATCAATTACAAAAGGAAAACATCAGCAATGAGTCTCAAGGAAGTACAATGATAGAGATCAGTTGTAGGTATGCAAGCAGATGGGCTAGCCATAGGTTTCGTTGAGGAGCATGTAGATTCTCTGTGGTTAGGTGAACGTTCTAAGAGAAAGTCGACGAGAATGGAGAAGAGACGGTTGAAATTGATAGTGGGATGACATGAGGAACAAAATAGAATTACCGATGTTACGAAGTTGTGTTTTGTGGTGTAGAGAGTGGAAGACATGTGCAACTTGATTGGGAAGTGTGAAGCTCATGAGGAAGATCATAGATATAGGTGAGCGAGCGAAAGATAGAAGTCACGAGGACTCACCCGTGTGAGAAATAAATAAGAAGCCAACAAGGAGAAAGTTACATACAACTGACCCTCCCAGGGTCGAACAATGGTGTAGTAGGGAAGATGACTCAATCAGATTCATTTCCCACCATCACTCATCCTGACTTACCCAAATCAAGACTAAGTGGTTGGATGATTAGTCTCACTAAACCACTAGAAACAGATACGTACAGTTCATTTCATTCAATATTCATTTTTATCAAAATATATGTGCTACAATTAAAAATAAATTACATGCTACAAAAGTCTTTAAAACCATCCAAAATATTTACGATTTAAAAGCTATGCAAAAGTCGAAGCACCTGGCTACCTACTCATCTGCTTTATATCCCTTATTGAAAAGCAACAGCATTATATTGGGTAAGCTACATGCTTATTGAGATAATAGACACTAAAATAAGATTCAATAAACACCAAAGGGACAACAGGTGATTGGTATCAGTAACAACATGAGTAATTACATGCTTAAATCCATAAAAGTACATGAAACTTGAAGTAGATGCAATAAAAGTAGTGGTCAATGCAAGTCATTGTAATATACAATATTTGTATACATTTACCTTGCCTGTATTGCTCATTCTTATTCTTAACTTTCTTATCTTAAGAATGTTATCTTGTATTTACATGAACATTGAAATTTTTCTGGTTGTATTATACAACCTGTCAGTTATAATAAAAACCACTTGCAAAGGTTGGTCGTCCCTAACATAACACTTATCAACAACTCCCTTATATCTAATGATATGCTTCAAGTGCACTTATCAACAACTCCCTTATATCTAATGATATGCTCCAATCTCAATATCAAGTGTATGCAGAATGCCAGAGAGATAAAGTGAGCAGGGGAGTAAAAGAGTGAAGGTAGATAGAGTGGCAGAAATTAAGGCAAGGGGAGAGAGGGAGAGAAAGGGTGAGAGAGAAAAAAAGAAAGAGAGATGAAGAGATTGATAGAAATAATGAGAGCGAGTGAAAAGAGATTGAAAGAGAAAGTGGGAGTTGGGAATCAAAATCATTTTCCTATTCATGCTCATCTCGTCAGAACTTTTGCTTGACCTGTGCAGGTCATCAATATTTGTCTACCTATCACAACATTTATGACATTTCCTTGATTATTTATCTATGACAAATATTTTTATATGCAGTTATTGTTTATCTGTATATACCTGCAAATAAAATAACTTATTTAACATATACAAAAATGTAACGAGATCAATGAATTCGACAATATACATTTCAACTTGCTTTTTTGTGAAATATGCAGATACCCAATGACATAAAAGAATTTTTAAATACTACTTATGGGTGGGGGTTACACAATAAATAAATATTCCAATAAAAAATAGCAATTAGTGATTCTAAATATCACATTTACTTTTTAACTTGACACATGATTATCTCACCCGAGATTGCTAGTGCTTGAATTCCCATTAACAATGATTTAATTAAATTAATTTGGCAATTAATGTTATTTAATTAATTTAATAAATATTATTTTATAAAATCAAATATATTAATAATATATATAGTACTATAATATCGTTTGATTGATACAAAAGTACTTTTTGTAAAAATAGTTTGGGTGAATTTAGATGAATACAAAAAAAAGGGGGCTATTTTTAAAAGTAAAATTTACCTATTTAGCGATTCTGGGTATTCTAGAGAATGTCAAGAAGAAAGAGTTGTGGGATTTTTGCATATACAATTTGTGCAATTATGGCTTTGAACGAGTTTAGTCTGTGGATATTCGATTGGAAGCTCATGATGTTTTGAGCAAATTTAGGTTGTTTGCTTTGATGCAAAATTGATATAAAGCATATCACAATAGAATGAAAATAGAGGGGACTAAAAGAACTTTGCACGCACGCGCGCACACACACACACACATATATATCTATTTATATATACATATTTAGAAGGAATGGCCGGAGGCTATTATACAGGCCTCCAACCACCCCTAATGTGCCTAAATTAGAGGGGACTAAAAGAACTTTGCACGCACGCGCGCGCACACACACACACATATATATCTATTTATATATATATATTTAGAAGGAATGGCCGGAGGCTATTATACAGGCCTCCAACCACCCCTAATGTGCCTAAATATTCGAGTACCTCCTCCTTAAGGCCAACTGTGTCTGACGGGATTCGAACTTCGACCTAAGGGGTCTTATACCGTGGATGCCAACCAACAAGTTTCACCAACATGACTTGGAAGAAAATTTAAAAATCCTTATAGTTTGCCTTTTAATAATTTGTTCATAACCATTCATCGATTTCATATACATGTTATTTATTCCTATTTATAGAAATTAGGCAAAGATAACATTGCACAATTTAAAATCAAATTTAGTCCTATCCATATTAAATCTAATACTAAATATTTCAAATTTAAACTTAAAATTATCCAAGAGGATAATTCAACTTAATAAAATAAATCTAGCAAAGTTAAAATCTTAATTACATGAAATGAAACTTGAATTAAATATAATATAATATAATTTTTTTTGTATGCCACATCGATAAGCATGATTAAAAAAGTATGACTATATTTTAAGTTTGTTTCCTGGGACATAATGATTGAAGATTTAACATAGTGAATGTTCATTTTTTGAGAAAGGGTGAGAATGATGAAAAATGTGAGAATGATGAAAAATGTGAGCCGATGACTATGTATCAGACAAAATGAGATTATTCTAAAGAATAATTTAATGACATTAATCATATTACTGTTTTAAATGTTTTTTTCCCTGAGCATAAATCTTAACCTATTCTCCATGAGAATAAGTCACAGCTCATAAACACCTGTGTTTTTATGTTGCTAAATGAATTCATTGGAAAGCTTTTTTGTCACATTTTTCCAATGATTTCTTATGGAATGGTTGCCATTTTTAATTATATGGAGCTTGTTTTTTTTCAGTATTCCTGGAGTTAAATTTTCTTAAAAGATAACGTTTGTAACCCATAAATTCATGTTAATCGACTTAATGCAGGCTGTAGTTACGAGCCACTTGGTAGTAAGAGGTTGTTACCGAAGCATCACACTTGTTATTTATGGTAATACTGCGGAAGATTTGGGGCAGTTCAATATTGATTTTGATCTCGACAATTCTTTGGCTAGCCTAGTTTCCTCTCCTTTGGATGGAAAACTTGAAGATTTGCCACCTGCTTTGATTTCTGATAAGTTGACCTTTGAGGAATTAGCATCTTCCACATTTTCGCTTTCTCTTCCATTTTCAGATTTTGATATTTCATCTGAAATGAGGCAGTTTCTACATTTGGCTCTCAAGCTCTGTCAACTCTCTGATGATGAGGCCATCATTCTTAAGATAGTAAGAACTGTTATATCCACTCTCCATTCACATGTTAATAATAATTATTGTGGTATCACCTTTGGGGATGAATTGAGTCTACGTAAGGTCATATATGGCAGAGAAGATCCACAGAAAGCCCTTTCCGTTATTGCCGAGGCATCAAATGAGCTGCATGAACTTTATAAGTTCTTCCAAAGTACAGCACAGAATGACAGCCAGTTGCAGGACATTGCTGAAGAATCTGATTCTGTTTTAGTCACCTCTCAACTGGTGGTTGATATGCTTTACCAGCAATTCCCATTTTTTCAAAAATTTTCATCTCTTGATATTCCACTTTTCTACCAGGTAACATTAAATATTTTATTTTCTTCTCTCAAATTGACCTCTATGTGTAATTAACATAAAGTTGCTGCTTCATTAAATCCACGTAACCATGAAACTTTTCTCTTGTAGAACAAAAAGTCAACCCTCGGATTAAGCATGGCTCTTTTGGTTTGCTCATCTAGTGAGAGCTGTTTCCATTTTGTTAATGGAGGTGGAATGGAACAGATTGTTACTTTACTGGGTGATGAGATGCAAAGTTCTACAGCCTTTACACTGCTTTTACTAGGTGTTATTGAGAATGCTACTAGGCATGCTGTTGGGTGTGAAGGATTCTTGGGCTGGTGGCCACGAAATGATGATAATGTGCCAGCTACTAAAAGTGAAGGTTACTGCAATTTACTGAAATTGCTTCTCAGGAAGCGGAGGCATGATGTTGCCTATATAGCATCCTATATTCTTCATCGATTGCGCTGCTATGAAATAGCCGCAAGATATGAGGTTTGTGTTTAATGTTGAAATGCTGTTATATTTGTTTTATTGTATGCATAGAACTTTATTTGGTTTTGCACATGTGTAATAAAATCCATCAATTTTATTTTTTTTTGCAGTTTTCAGTGTTATCGATTTTGGAAAGTCATTCTTTAGATTGGCTGTCTAGAGCAGACACAGTAAATTCACTAATGAGTGCAGCTTCCCAAATCAAACAAACTTTGGTTAGTTTCTTGATCCGGTATTTTTGAATGGTTCATATTGTAAAATTTATTTTCTTGTTTTACTATATTCGATTTATTCATCCATAACTTTAAACTCAATGTGACAAAAATGATCCAGAAATTGTTAAATTTATGTGGGCCATTTGAGGATCCATCACCTGCTGGCATCGCAAAAAAATATTTAGGCGCTATTGAATCTGATGGGCCTTTGTCATACAAAGCAACCTCTGGCTACATTGCCTTCTCTAAAAATAGTTTCTTGTCTTGGGATATTGACATGCATTTGCTGTCACTTCTAAAGGTAGCATTTATTTTACTTTATCTTGTGCTTCATTTTTCTACTTTTTTCTATCTAAGTAAAGTTAACATGAATGTCTGCATGTCATCGAATAGTTTTGTGAACTTCTTCTTTATGGGCTTCTTTGAGCTACTCCCGTTTTGTTCTAATACTGGAGGATATTGCTAACTTAAACCCCTTTACTGATTCTTGTTTAAGTTTCATAAATAGCTATTTTAAAATTCTAACGTTTAAGGGTGTTATTTTCTTGAATGGCTAATGCTTTTCTCACCATGCTCCTATTGATTTTGCTTTTTGATGTTCTTTTTTCTATTTACTTTAGGAGTTTGATATTCTTTGAATTTATTCTTGTTTGAAGGTTGTCTAAAGTTTAATATTTACTTCCGAAGGTCACTCTATTTACTCAAGATATTTATTGATTCTTTAAATTTCTCTCTGTTTAAAGGATGTTTAGAAATTTAAAATATGATGGATGCTCCATTTGAACAGGAAAGAGGATTTTTTCCTTTGTCAGCAGCATTGTTGTCCTTTCCATCATTGCATTCAGAAACTGGAATTGTGGCTGAAATCCTTTTGGAAATTGCTGCCTTATTTCACTCGCTGCTTCTATCTCTTCTGTTTTGCCGTTCAGGTTTTTCCACTGAACTTGCTACTGTTTAGTCATGATAAAAGCAAACTGAAAATTAATTGAGGGTTCATAATTATAATATCTGTATTCTGAAAGTCATTTTATTTTCCTTTATTCACCAGGCTTGACTTTCTTGCTACTTGAACCGGAAATAACTTCTAGTGTTATTCTATCTCTTCAATGTTTTGAAAACAAAAAAAATTCTGAATACTTAACTCTCCGACAAGCAGCATTTCAGATATCAAAGGGATTCTTTTGTCACCCCCACGAAATTGCGATGATTATGGACACCCACCTTAGAGTGGTTAGTTTATTGCTTTTTGGTTTTTGTTTTTATATAAGATTTACCCTATAAATTGCTATTGTCTTCTTATTTTACTTCCCAGGCCAATAGTAAAACTTTTTTTGCGTTTGGGAAGGTGGAATTTATTTTTTATGAGGAATATTGGGTCCTTTACTATTGACTAAAAAGCCAAAATACAGGAATCTTTGTTGACAAGTCTATTATTGAAAATATAGGACACGGACATGTGTTGGATACGTTATAATAAAAATTATTTAAAATATTTGTATATATTAAAAATAAAAAAAGAGGAGTTATTAGCATTAACTTTCAAAAAGATATAACGTATATCTTTAGTTTATGACATACAAAATGTAAGCTTAAAAATATATATTATCTTGTATTAAATCAAAATTTAACTTCGTAAAACAATAAAATAATATGTAATAACTAATAAGTAATAAGTAATAAATTAATAAATTAATGAATGAGTTATATTTATTGTAATTTTTTTGTGTTTTTTACATACACACCACCGAATTCTCATGTATTTACATATCATACACCTAAAACTTGATTTTTACATTTATGCCACCCAAATATCGTATATCACATCTAAATATATAAATTAAATCAAATGAAATACTTCTTTTTAATTTTTATACATATGTAAGGTGGCATGCATGAAAAAAATAAAATTTTGATATTAGATACGTAAATACATAAGCATTGAGTGGTATGCATGCAAATAATTCCTAAATTTTATTCCTAAAAATATTTTTTAGAATTTTTTTATTCATTAATTTAAGACATGCCAGAAATTAGGACATCCGTGTTGGACACGCGTGCCCTCTTTTTAATATTATTTAATTTTGACACTTCTGTGCTGTGTCTGATTCATGTCCCAGCCTTGTCAGAGCCGTGTCCGTGTCTGTGTCTGATATGCATCCGACATTTCACGACTTCTTAATTAGTATTGTTAGTGCAACATAGACTGGAATGTTATCCACAAGCGGTGCATCGTAATTGATTAACCTAATCTCAACAAAGATAGGGGTAAGTATGAGCACATCATTCCCTCTCAAATTAACTGGAGCTCCATGCATGGGATGCACCTTTTTACTCAGTGACTTAGAATGGAACCAACTTGTATATTATGCCTTTTCAACACTTTTTATGTGCTTGCATTATTGAAGGTCTTTTGTATTGATTGTAATCCAGTCGATTATTTTAATATTATAAAATAAATAGATTGATTAGTACATCTGCTTGTGCTAAGAAAATAATGGAATTATACTTTTTTTTTGTTGGTACTGTAGTTCACTTTTCTCAAAGTAGGTGCTCCCCTAAGCCTTGTTTATGCATGGCTGCTATTACTTCCAGACTGAGTATTTTTATGATATGTAAATATGATCGATAAGTTATTGAACGAAAGGCTATGATACCAGATTTAATCCAAACCACAAGGAGAAAACAAATATTATTACTCAAAGCAAATAATCGGTTACAAGATCATACACGTAAAGGGAATACAATGTCAAAAACATCACAAACACGACGGGCATTGTGTTCCGAAGCGGTGGTGATGGGTTGTCGACTAGAAGGGTGGAGTTTAGTGGTCGGCTGGGTTGGGAAAACAGGAGGCTGGTTGGTGGAACAGCTGGGTGGAACAGCTGGCCGGCTGGATGGGGAAGAGGTAGGTAGCAGTTTGGTGGATGGATGGGAGAGGTAGGCAACACATTGGGCAGCAGTTTGGCGGCTTTTTGGAGGAGGTAGGCAGCAGTTTGGTGGCTTTTTGGAGGAGGTAGGCAACAGGTTGGCTGCTGAATGGAAGAACCAGGCAGCAGGTTGAGAGACAGATAAACACCGCATCGGGACGAGTTATAACTGGAGCACCTTCTCGCCTTTAGATACAACCCTAGACGAGAACCTGGACGCTGGTTGCTGTCTTATCATAAATTGAAAGCAAAAACAGTCCAAGAACACAAATAATACATATAGACCTAAAGTAAAGAGGAGTGTGCTTGGAAGGACTGGTCGGTCCCTCCCTGACCTGGATTGAACCGGTTTTGGGGCCGACACAACTTTTTTTTGCATTTGGGGTTGCAAACACCCAGCGCCAGTTTCTCGGGGTTGGGGGAGCTTCTACCTCTTCTGTCGAAGCTTTCGTTTCTTCATAGAATGAAGTTAAATCTACCACTTTGAAGATAGCCAAGTTGCTATAATCCACTGATGAATCAATCTTGTAGGAATTGTTTTCAATTTCTTGAGGATTCTTTATGGTCTGTCTGCTGTGGGCTTGAGTTTCCTGAATGATCCTTGGGAAAATCTCTCTCTTTTTAGTCTGATCCACACTAGACCTTATGGCCTTTTTTCTTAGATTTATTAGCTTGCGCTTGGTTGTTGTGACTGTGTGTGGTAATCTCTTTCCCAACTTCTCTTTTTAGTCTGATCCACACTAGACCTTATGGCATTTTTTCTTAGATTTATTAGCTTGTGCTTGGTTGTTGTGACTGTGTGTGGCAATCTCTTTCCCAACCTCTTTGCTCTAAATTTCTTGTATTCTTGTCTCTGCATCAGCACTAGCCTCCGTCGTAAAAAGAATTGGTACAAACTTAAGCGACGTGAGTGGTTTGCATCCATACTCAATCTGAAAGATGTTTGTTCCGTAGCCTGCTCATAGATCAGTTGTATGCAAATTTGGCTTGGGCTAGGAGCTGGTCCAACTGGTTGATGTTCTTTCCTATGAAGCACTTCAGAAGGTTTTTCAGGCTCATGTTCACAACTTATTTCTGACCATTTACCAGTGGATGATCTGTAGAGATGAATTGAAGTTTAGCGCCAAGCTTTTTCCACAAGGCTCTAGAAGTGACTCAAAAACTTGACGTCCCTATCTGTTGAATGGTTTGGGGTATTCCATGCAACCTCAAAATCTTTCTGAAGTATATATCAATGACAAGGGATGTGTTCAACGTCCTGCGTCAAAACACAAAATGAGCCATCTTTGAGAATTGGTCAACCACAACCATCACTGAATCCTTATTCTGTTGCATCCTCGGAAGACCCACCATAAATTCCATAGTGACGTTTGCCCAAGGGTCGTCTGGTACCGATAACGACATGTATAGCCTTGTTTTTTGTCCTCGGGTTTTAGTCAGGTGGCAAACACTGCACTGTCAAACGTATCGCTCCACGTCTCTCTTCAATTGGGGTCATAAGAAGTATTCCTGCACTAATGCGAGGGTCTTGTCTCTGCCAAAATGACCTGCTAGTCCCTCACTCTGACTCTCCCGGATGATGGCTCCCCTTAACAAACACCTAGGCACGTTCAACTTTTTCCGATGGAATAAATGACCACAATCTTTGTATATGCCCTGTGGGCCTCTCCTGACATTGTTCCCAAATTTTCGTGAAATCCTCATTTGCCTTATGCTACTCCTTCACAATCTTAAATCTTGCCACTCTAGATTGTAGGGAGTTAATCACCAAATGGCGGCGGCTCAAGGCATTGACTGCTCGATTCTGTTTTCCGGTCTTATGCTTGAGCACGAACTTGAATGACAACAGGAAATCAACCCATGAAACATATCTATCCCTAAGCTTGCATTGACTATTCATGACTCTCAGCGCTTTGTGATATGTGAAAAAAGTGAACTCACTCATCAACGGGTAGTGAATCCAGTGGTGGACTCTTCCAATGGTGAACTCCTTATCGTATGTTGATTACTTTCTCCTAGACTTATTCAACTTCTCACTGAAGAAGCCTTGAGGTGTCCTCCCAGGCTCTTTTTCCCACATTAGAGACTCTACACTCTACCTCGAACAACCAGTTGAAATCCGGTAACACTAACACTTGGCTTGCATCACTTTCTCCTTCCGGGTATCAAATCTAGAATTTCCTGACTCTCCCCACTGAAACTTTTTTCCCTTTAAAAGCTTTGTCAAAAGAGCTATAATGGTGCTGAAGCTCTTGATGAACTGCCTGTAAAAAGACACTAACCCCAAAAATTGGCTTAGCTTGATAAAAGAGTGTATGTGTGTCCAACTCACGATCACCTCTATTTTCATAGGGTTCATCTAGCTGCCTACACCAGATATAATATTAACCCTAAAAATATACCGGCGTCGTTAAAAGTGGCACATTTTTTATGTGAGCATATAGCTTTTCCGCCTGTAGAACTTTGAAAACCAGCCTCAGATGCTGCAAGTGTCCTCGGAACTGCCATAGACAAGGTTTTCGTCAAAGTAAACAACCATGAAATTTTTGATGTAAATCCAGAACACATGATTCATCAGCCTCATAAACGTGCTAGGTGCATCTGATAGACAAAATGACATGACGGTCCCCTCGTACAACCCATCTGTAGTCTTGAAGGCAGTCTTCCATTCATCGCCGATCTCATTCTGATCTGATGATATCCGCTGCATGGGTCATTCTTGAAAAAATACGTCTCAATGTTACTGATCCAGTAGGTCATCTTGACGATGGATATGGAATCGATATTTGGTGTTGATCTTGTTGATAGCTCGACTATCATAGCATATTTTTCATGAGCCATCCTTTTTAGGTACCATCAAGTTGGGAACAATGCATGGGCTGGTGCTCTCTCACCAATCCCCTAGTAATGACACCTTGCACTTACCGTTGTAACTCATACTCTACGGAGATCAACCTGTATGCAAGCCTGTTTGACAGCACAGATCCTGGAATAAGATCCATGTTATGGTGGATATCCCTCAACGGAAATAAACCCTTAGGTAGGCTGTCGGTCATCACCTCCTGAAATTCGGCTAATGCTACTGGACCATCTCTGGTGGATCTATCTCTTCTCCAGTTCCTTTTAAGACTACTAAAGCCAATGCTACTAGGACTTCTCGAACTGATTGTTGAAGAGTGGCACGTGAGACCTTAGGCTTATCTCTTATTGGTGCAGCTGCTCTTATAGAATCATTGGTGGGTAAGAGACTAATGTATTTTCTCCTTTCTGTGAACGTGTAAGTGTTCCGGAACCCATCATGCTAGGTCTTGCGATCCAATTGCCACGGTCTCTCCAACAGAATATCGCAGGCGTCTATGAGAACCACAACATCAGGCCCGGTCTTGTAGTTGTTCTTCAATGCAAAACTCTACTAGGTAATGTTGATCCACCCGTATCCTGTTCCCTTTCTTCGACCACATTAGAGAATAGGGTTGGAACTGTTTCTGTGTAATAAGATCCAACTTCTCTATAGAAATGGAAAACTTCTCACAGTTGCCTTCGTCAATATGAGACTACACACTTTCCCTCTCACAATACACTTAGTGGGGAAGATACATGCCTCAATCATGAGTGATCTCTTAGAGGTTATGTTTGTATAACTCATCTTGCCACTAACAGTTACCTTTCATTTTTTTGGAGTTGTTATTCCTCACCCTAATCCTCAGCTGTTTCTTCACCACTCAATTCCTCCATGACGCCTACTCGGTGAAGGACACTATTGTACTTGATGGGTATTTGGAGGTCATATGGTCATATTCGTTGCATCAGAAGCATTTTCAGGCTTGAACCGTATTGGGTGTGCTACTCTTCTCCAACTTCTTCTCATTCTGATTTGTGTTATCAGCTCCTTGTCCCGTCCTTCCAAAACCTCTAGGCATGCTCCTAGTGGGGGCTTGGGGACTTCAACTATAGGGCGTTGTCTGAATGGAGGTGGGTACCTTTGCTGCTTGTGCTGCCTTTCCACTTTCATTGCTAAGATCTGCACGTCCCTCAGTGTCCAATAGGTTTGCAATTGAACCACATTACCGTTGACGGGCTTCAGTCCTCTCAAATATCGAATTATGGAATGCTCATATGTTTCTTGCAGTTCACATTTCAAATTGAGCTTCATGAATTCTACCGTGTATACCTGGAATGATAGCTCCTGCTACAAGTAATAGAGTTTTGTGAAAGTATGATGGTGGTAGTCTGGGTGTAGGTGCTATCGCTGTAGCGCTTTCATCTTCTTCCAAGAAGTGATTTTGTCAACTCCTTTCCTCTGTCTCTCCTTCAAGTTCTTCTATCATATGGAGACATTCTTTATCAGATTGATGACAGCTAGTTTCACTCTTCTATCATCGGGCACGTCCTTGTACTCAAAGATCCACTCAACAGTCTACATCCATCTGTATAAATCATCATAATTCATCCTCACCTTTGAAGTCCTTTAGGTCCACCTTAACTCTCATATCTTTATGCCCTCTAGTACGCACCTCCTCTTCCGACATCTAATATTGAATTTCAAGTCTCTTGGGTTGATTATTCTCTTCATTGCAATCATCCCTTCGAAAGGGGTTCAGGTGTTCTTCCGGCTCTTCTTCTTGGATCACATTATTACGGTAAATGGTGATCTCACCCGTGGTTCTTTCCTCAATAGCCTTGAGCTGTTGTATCACTTGGTACAATATTCACTTTTTATCGCCCATGGTAAAGTTTTGATCAGATTTCGAGAATTGCCTTCTTGGCGGCATGGTTAGGGTCTAAGGGTGGATAGGGGGAAGGGGGTGTGTAGGGTGGGGAAAGAAAATTTATTTTTTTAGGGGGGTGGGCTGTGCGTGTGTGTGTGTGTGGAGATAGGTTTGGGTAGGGCAGATGGTAGAAATCCTTAGATAGGAGTAGTGTTAGGCTGACTCTTATAGTAAATGATACCAGAGTAACTCTAATCACAACTAAAAAACAAATATTATTACTTGAAACAAATAAGTGGTTACAATATCATATGCTTAAAGGGGATGCAATGTTAAACACAACACAGGCACGACGAAGGTTGTATTCCGAAGGGTTGTTGGTGGGTTGACGACTGAACGAGTGGAGTTAAATGGTCGGCTGGGTGGGGAAAACATGGTGGCCGATTGGATGGGGGAGAGGTAGGTAGCAGGATGGAGGAAACAGGCAACAGGTTGAGGACTGGACTGAGGAACCAAGCAATAGGTTGGCGGCTGGACGGAGGAACAGGTTGCTGGTTGGATGGAGGAGAGGTAGGTAGCAGGGTGTCAGCTAGATGGAGGAACCAGGCAATAGATTGGCGACAGATAAACACCATCTTCGAACGAGTTACAACTTGAGAACCTTCTCGCCTTTTTATACAATCCTAAATAGGAAAACCTGGATGCCGACGACTGTCTTGACAAAAAGCAGAAGCAAAAAATGCCCTAAAACAAAACAAATAACATATAGATGGAGGGGTAGGTAGCAGCGTGTCGGCTAGATGGAGGAACCAGGCAATAGGTTGGAAACAGATAAACACCATCTTCGAACGAGCTACAGCTGGAGATCTTATCGCCTTTTAATACAATCTTAGATAAGAAAACTTGGATGCCGGCGACTGTTTTGACAAAAACCACAAGCAAAAAATGCCCTACAACAAAACAAATAACATATATATAAAGTCCTCTGATAAAGAGGAGTGGGTCCCGCTCCAAGTGGTTGGAATCCCATGCTTGGAAAGGCCGATTGGTCTCTCCCTTGCCCGGAACAAACTGGTACTAGGGTCGACACGAGACTTTTGTCACGTCTTTTGTCACGTCTAGGGCCGCAGACGCCCTGGTACTAGGGTCGACACGAGACTTTTGTCACGTCTAGGGCCGCAGACGCCCCGCTTCAGGCTATGATGCATAAATGAAATTATGTCACATATGGATGCAACCAGGTTATATTGATATAGTGAAAATGATCAAATTTGTCACCACACAATGTAAGGTTTTTATTTAGTCCCCTCAACTAATTTAAACTTGACTTATTTGGTTCTTTAATATGATTCTTATAATCCCTCAACTTTACTTATGATAAGTTTAGGGGCAATATTGAATGATAGGAAACAATTGAGGTCAAAATGAACATACCTTAAATAATCTGTGGATCGTGGGTGCCATCTAGCTTAGTTGATAAATTGCTAAGTCTGTGTTAGCTTCTCCCTTTCATAAAATTTTTTCCTTGGCTTTAAATATGCTCCCCTACTTCCTCCTTCCTCCAGAAAAAGAAAAGAAATAAAAGAGGACCAATGTTTCTCCATTAAAATTTAAATGCACATCTTTGATGATATAAGGCATACTGATATGACATCATTTTGAACTTTTTTGTGTATGAAATGTATAGTGATTCTTTCATTTTGATAGTTTATGTAGCTTGCGATATTGTTGGAATTTCCTGTGACGTATAGGTTTAATAGATTTAAGTTTATTTAATATGATACAAGATGGGATAGATGAAAATACAATTTATTAGCGTTAGGTATGGGTGATTGAGTTGGAGAAGTGCCCCAAGAGTGTTATGTGAAAAGAGAATAATATTAATAGGAAAATGTGAATTTAATAAGATTGGTATTCAACTAATTGTGCTATATGGATTTGAGTATTAAGAAAAGAGAAATTGATTGTTATTGCATTGATATGTCAAAAATAGGGATGTTAAGTTTTTTTTTGTGCTAATATAAGGAAGGATTGTGCAATATATGGTTGTAGCAGAGGGACACTAGGATCTATTGCTGGTTATATGACGGAAATATTTACTTGGCTATTTTGACATGTACAATGAAAACAGAATATATACTAATAAGGTGTGTATATTGAATTAATTTGGTGATTAGCAAGTTATCATGGTAAATCAAAGGTAATATTGATAGATATGCAAAAATGTTTTTACAATGTAGAATTAAAACCTTATATAGCTCTCAACAATTATTAGTTGAGGAGGAGGATTGTAAAATTTAACCCAAAAATTTTTAATTTGTCAACAATGATGATGATTTTGACAACGACCTTGATGTCTTGACTTGAACATTTAACAGAAATTTTCTTTCATGCAACTATATTATTTGTTTGCTTTTATATTGACAAGGCAGTTTCTTTAGTGTTTCTTGAAGGTGCAAGTGTTTTTTTTTGGTCACAAGTCTGTTAATTGTATGCTTAAAACATACTTGACAGCTCATGGCTAGATATCGTTTTGTGCTTCTTTGTTTTTTTCCCTCTTTCTTTTCTTGATTCTTTGTAAATTTTTATGGGGTTAAAGTATTTTTTGACATCATCAAACAATTCTAATGTTACATACTAGAGAAAGAAATCCTGCTACTTTAATTAATTAACTATTGCATGCTAGACGAGTGCCTGGGACTATATTTTTCACGACTTGCTCTTTAATTTTAAGTTTATACATGTATGTATTAATGTTGACGTTGATCTTTTCACTCGTTTTTGGATTGAATTTCACTCTTCAATGTTTGGGAATTAATTTGTTTGTTTTTCAAAGATTAATGTACTGTCGTAGATGTCAAATGAAATTTTACTTTTTCCCCAAACATTATTCGGTATTTGATAAATTGACTTATTTCTGGTCATTGTGCTGCTTCCTAGGGCAATGCTATCGACCGATTACTTGCTTCAAATCCTAGCTCTGATGAACTTCTATGGGTTCTTTGGGATCTCTGCGCTATCTCCAGGTAGATTACGTTTCTTATAGTGGAGGATTTAAGTTTTATTTTTAGAGATTATTCTTATATACATTTTGTTTTAGGTCTGAATGTGGCCGTCAAGCAATTTTATCAATTGGTTATTTTCCAGAGGTAGTGTTGTCTGGGTTACCTTTTAAGTCCATGATTCCTCTAAACTCATATTTCCACAAATGAGTGGAATCTCTTATACACTTCGTTAACATTGTATTTAATTTTTGACCTAGTTTCTGCTGTGCAGGCAATATCAGTTCTGTTGGATGCATTTCATTCCTTCAAGGATTCTGAGTCAATATCTACTAGCAATGGTAATAGTTCTTTATTTTATTTAGATCTTTCGGTAGTTTGAAAAATTAACATTTAAAAAAAATGTTTTTCATTTAGTATGTTCTCGTTTTACTGTGTTCTCGTTTGGGTGTGACATTGAACCTCCGGTTTTCAGGAACTTCACAGCTTGGTCTGGCCACTTTCTATTCAGTGGCAGAAATTTTTGAAATCTTGGTTTCTGATTCTACATCATCATCACTTAGAACTTGGATTGGACAAGCTATGGAGCTTCATAAGGCATTGCACATGTCTTCCCCAGGGTCCCATAGAAAAGATGCTCCTGCAAGGTTGCTGGAATGGATTGATGCTGGTGTGGTTTATCAGAAAAATGGAGCTATTGGACTTCTCAGATATGCGGCTGTTTTAGCTTCTGGTGGGGATGCTCATCTGAGTTCTACAACTGTATTAGTGTCAGATTCCATTGATGTTGAGAATGTTGTTGGAGGCATATCAGATGCTTTAGACTCTCGGGTGTTAGATATTCTTCTAGGGAAGCTTGTTAATGATAAATTTTTTGATGGCATTATCCTGCGGAGTACTTCCATCATTCAATTGACCACAGCCATTCGGATTTTGTCTTTTATTTCAGAGAATTCGGTACGCCCTTCTTTTTATATAAGCAAGCTTAGTTTAAAAAAAAAAAAAATCAGATTTTGGAATACTTGTTTTTTTTCTTAATTTTAAATTTTGTACCGACTGAATTTCCCTGTTTCTGACATTCTTTATTAATTTCTGTTAAAGGATGTGGCAGCAGCCCTTTTTGAAGAAGGTGCCGTGACATTAATATATGTGGTTTTAGCAAACTGTAAATGTATGCTCGAACAATCATCAAATACATATGGTGAGCTCTTTGAATTATCTTTTTATTCAAGTTGTTTTAAACAATACTGCCTTTTTGCTTATATTTGTGTATCAAATTTTTCTTAAATTGATTTAGTCATTCCTTACTAGAAAATTCGTTTCTTTGAGCTTTTAAGATGATAATGTCTACATGTTTCCGTGCCATTTTTTCCCCTCTTTTGTTATCATTTAGAATGGTTAACTTTAAATCTATAGTTATTCAGCCTATTTGTCAAGCTATTTAAGGCATTTATGGATAGGCCCCTTTCCTTGCTGTGATGGAGGGAGATCATCCTCCTGATTAAATAAAAAGAATACCCAACCCAGGACACTACCTCCTGTGCAGGCCTGTGAAGGGTATATTCCCTTAGCCTTGCATTAGCAAAAAGCCTTCTCACTTAAATTGTTTTTATGACTTCTAGATTATAACGGAGGCAACCAAACCAAAACTCCTAGCACAGTCTCTCTGAATGAATTTTGATTTGTCTATTTGTACCTGGTGTGTTATTTTGCGAGATATTGCAGGATAGGATTAGTTTAATTCACGGTTTTCTTTTGGTGCTGTAAGCAGCTTATTTCATGAGTTGTATCTATTATTTTAATTGCTGGGGGTGGGTTAATTTTTTGAACTTGAATACTAATCTTAGTCTAATGTAATGATGTTGCTGATTCCTTTCCTATTGTTTTGCTATTACAATTTTTGCGTATGGTTTGTTCATTTGAAATTTTACGTAATTTCTTGTCCCCAATGACGGGACAGGAGCATTGAAGAGCATTCTCAAAACAGTTTTGAGGCGTGGCTGTTTTTTTTTCTAACTTTGTTTCAGTTGATCTTTTAAGTATGTGCTAACGTATGATAATGCCTATCATATGTTTATTTAAGTAGTTTCCTGTTGTTTTTTCAAGTTCAGTATTTATAAATCTGGCCAAAAATGGTTACTGTTGAACATGATGTAATATATACAATATTTAAGATTTTTATTATGGAACGTTTGGTTGTTTAAATCTGCAATTTTTGATAGTTTATTTTTCTTTTGTATTGGACTTTAGTAATTGATGAATTCCTAGTGGTAGTTGCAGTAGTATTGTTCTAAGTTATACTGTGAATTATTATAACTTCTATCGTCAAATCTTTAATTCATTTCATTGTGGGGCATCTAAATCACCAGTCACCTTTACAAATTGTTATTTTCCACCTCTATTTTTCTAATTATTTTGTTATATGAAACATTTTTTATTTGGTCCTTTTCATTCATGTTGATTAATTTTCATATTCTACCAAATTATATCCATTTTTTATTAATAATATCTTCAAAAAGGTATTCTCTTAAATGAGGTAGACAATATTTGAAGAAAATATATGTAAATTGTAGAAATTATTACTTCACCATATTTTAAATGCATGCATAGATGGTCTGGTTACCTAGTGTAAAAGTTGAATCCCTTGAGTTATATTGTCTGCATGAATCGGGAGTCTGATGTTTTGTTGTCAAATTATTGAATTGGGAGTTTGATGATTAGTTGTCAAATTAGTATTTCTGTTATTGAGTAGCAATGGAGGGATGAACAACATCATAATTCTGAATTATGAAGGCCTTAAGATAATTAAGCTAATGTGAAGTTCCTTTAACATGAAAGGAATTCTGAATTATGAAGGCCTTAAGATAATTAAGCTAGTGATTACTTATGTGAAGTTCCTTTAACATGAAAGGACACAATGATATGAAACAAAAAATTCCAAATAAAGAGATGGTCTGAAATGCTTTTTCTTTTTGCACATAATTTGCTTCAACTTTTTTTTTTTTGCTCTGGGTAATCTCATTAGTGAAGCATTCTTGCTATTTATAGATTAATCAATGAAGTCATAATAATTTGTTACGGAAAAAGGTGGCAGCGTTGGTTTCAGAATGTCGGCTTAATTTTTGCCAGATACTATTGTGATGGAGAGTTTTTTAAGAAAATTCTAATTTATAGTTGGGATGTTTTCTTCATATAGTTTTGCTGTCTTAAAAAATATTTATGATAGAGCGCTAAAGGATCTGAATGGTTTAAAATTTATGGAAAAAGTGAGAAGTTGCCAAAATGTTTATGATGGAGCTTTGATGCAGCCGTGGGAAAAAAAAAGAAGAATTTTTTTCCTTGAAGTATCCTAGTTGGCTTACAAAGGTGCATCTTTGGCAAAGGCTGGTTAATAAGATGTTTCTGTAACACAATCCTATGAGCATTATTAACAAGTTAATTATGCTCATTATTTGATGCTTGAACAATGATTTGACATTATTGTAAACAATTTCAACCTATCTTCTTCACTTCATATTGTAATAACTGAAATTTTAATTTAATAAAATAAAGGGGAATTTACATATACAACACCCAATTCTTATGCATTGACCTACACACACCCAAAGTCTCATTTTCACAAACAAAGCATCCAACTTATCCTTTTCACCACTCCCCAACAATGAAATCAACATTTTCATTCATAGGTAGGGTACTGATTTTGTAAACATGATAGTTTGGGTGTGAGATAGGTAAATGAATGAGAATTGGGTGCTGTATACATAAATATCCATAAAATAAAATATAAAATAAAAAGAAGTAAAAGAAAATCAATTTTATCAAGTTCGTCTTGGTTCGAAATAAACACCTCGATGGCTATTTAAGAGACTAATGCCCCATTCGATCCGATGGAATCAGAGATCGAGTGTGTGAGAGAAGAGGAGAGAGCAGGAAGCAAAGAAGAAGGAAGTATCATGCTTTGCTAAGGGTACCACATCTGAGTGAAGGAAGGGAATCAACGACAAGCTGATATCATGTCATTTGAGAAGAAGAAGATCAAGGAGGGAGATACAATGCTGTTAGTACAAGTACAAGAGAGATCTGACATTGTTGGCTGAAGGGGCAACCTAGGGCTAGTTGTGTTAGTAATTTGTGTGAAGGTAATGAAGAGGCAAAACATTGAAGCCAAAGGAGATGATTCTGAATGGAGTGTGAGGTTCTTCTTGTGCTTAGAAGAGTAAGGAGGGAGATACAATGCTGTCAGTGCAAGTACAAATACAAGAGAGGTCTGACATTGTTGGCTGAAGGGGCAACCTAGGGCTAGCTGTGTTAGTAATTTGTGTGAAGGTAATGAAGAGGCGAAACGTCGAAGCCAAAGGAGATGATTATGACTCGAGTGTGAGGTTCGTCTTGTGCTTAGAAGAGTGCAAGTGTGTGCGTCCTGTGCATGAAAGGTGAGGAGAGGAAGCCCTAGCATGCGGGTGAGCGGTAGGGCTTTGATTGCAAGAGGATCACTCACATTCTGAAGTAACTGGGGAAAAATCCAGTAACTCGTGAGATTTTTTCACTTGCAGTAAGATCCAAGGGTGAATCACATGCTGAAGACTTCGACCAGGAGGCTTCGAACAGGAGGAGTGAGTTTCGTAAGGTAAGAAGTCTTGTGTGCTTAGCTTAAGAGGATGAATTGAGCCTAGTGACTATTGCATGTGGGTTCGAGCGAATGAGTAGGAGAAGAAGCTTGCTATGTTGGCAAAAGGAACGAATCGAAGCTTTTATAAGGTAAGCTAGGCTTTATTTTCTTAGATTTTTAAATAGTAATTATGTTAGGATTGTTGTATAGTTGATAAATAATTGTTATAAGTAATGTTATAAACTATTAATAATGGATTTTATTTTTTGAGGATAGGTTGTGATAAGTCAAAGAACTTTTGTTTTGTAAGATTCAGAGATTTTCATTGTTGATTTCACACAAGGAGGAGAAGGTAAATGTTAGAACTTTTAATGTGTTTTATTTGTTGAGACTAATTAATTAATTGAAATGATATTAAATGTTAATATTATGCTTTGATAAAAAAGGAAAAAATTAGATCAAGGAATGTTTGAGATTGAAGGGAGTAGAAGAAATTGCGGCATAAAAATGTTACAATCAATTAAATAATTATTTAAGTATCAAAATAAGTTTTATTCCTTAATAATATCAAAAATTTGATGTGGAAAACATTCGTATCGGGAAACAAGAAGCATTAGCAACATTCCCAAGGGTGAATCACATGTGGAAGAGGTGGCTTTGAGTAGGAGGCTTCGAGCAGGAGGAGTGAGCTTCGTAGGGCAAGAAGGATTGTGTGCGTAGCTTAAGAGGATGAATCAAGCCTAGTGACTTGCGTGCGGTTTTGAGCGAAGGAGTAGAAGAGGAAGCTTTTTGTGTGGGGAAAAGGACCGAATCGAAGCTCTTGTAAGGTAAACTAGGGTTTGTTTTGTTATATTTTTAAATAGTAGTTAGGTTAGGATTATTGTATAATTAATAAAAATGGTATATACTATTAATAGTAGATTTTATTATTTGATGATAGGATGTGACGGGTCGAAGAACTTTTGCTTTGTAAGATTTGGAGATTTTAATTGTTGATTTCACACATGGAGGAGAAACTAAATGTTAAAATTTTTAATGTGTTTTACATCTTTAGAATAATTAATTATTTGATATGATATTTAATGTTAATATTGAGTTTTGCAAAAACAAAAAAGATCGAGGAACGTTTGAGATTGAAGGGAGAAGAAGAAATTGCGGCATAAAAGGATATAATCAAATAAATAATGGTTTAAGTATTAAAATAAATTTTATTGCTTAATAATGTCAAAAATTTGATATGTAAAATATTCATATTTGAAAACAAGAAAAATTAGCAGCATTAATCATGTTAGGGTTTGCTATTTCAGTTTTGTGATAACTTTACGTTGAATTTTATAAGTTTGAATAGTGTTTTGTTGAACGATGTTAGATTTTTGCAAGTCAAGTTATTAAATTGGAGGATCGACATGAGTAGAACAGTGAAAGGCTTGAGGTGAATAATTATATTTCTATATTTCAATAAATTTTTATTATTTCTAAATATATGTTTGATTTCATTTGTGTTTTATTTTAGTGAGATTTATATTATAGTAGATTCTTCATATTGTTAGATAGAAAAATATGCATGTTAAATAGACAATGAAATTAAATTA